CACTTTCATTTTGTTCTTTTTCTTTTCTTTTTTGGAGACCAAGTCTCGCTTTGTCACTCAGGCTGGAGTGCACTGCTCGACCTCAGCTTACTACAACCTCCACCTCCCAGGTTCAAGCCGTTCTCCTGCCTCAGCCTCCCAAGTAGCTGGGACTATAGGCACACACTGCCACACCCAGCTAATTTTTTTTAATATTTTAGTAGAGATAGGGTTTCACCATGTTGCCTAGGTTGGTTTCGAACTCCTGAGCTCAGGCAGTGTGTCGCCTCAGCCTCCCAAAGTATTAGGGATTACAGGCATGAGCCACTGCACCTGGCCCACTTTCCTTTTTTTCTAGTAATTCTTTTTAAAATTTTAGCAGGTTTTTAAAGTCCAGTTAGAAGATAATCTTTAAGATTATCTTTTAAATTAAGTTACATTAAATTAAGCTTTAATGTAACTACCCCTGTTTAAAGGGTACTCCTAATTTTTTTTTTTTTTTTTTTGGCTGGAGGGTAGTGGCGTGATCTCCATTCACTGCAGCCTCCGCCTCCCAGGTTCAGTTGATTCTCCTGCCCCAGTCTCCTGAGTAGCTGGGATTACAGGTGCCTGCTACCCGCCTGGCTAATTTTTGTATTTTTAGCATAAATGGGGTTTTGCCATGTTGGCCAGGCTGGTCTCCAACTCCTGACTCCAGGTGATCCACCTGCCTCGGCCTCCTAAAGTGCTGGGATTACAGGCGTGAACTATCAGGCCTGGCCATTGTTTTTAAAAATTTAAGTATAAAATGGATATAGAGACATGTCCCTATCAGAAATGTGTAGCTCAGTGAATTTTCCTAAATTGAGTACACCCATATCAAAGAGCCATTTAGCACCTATGTCAAGCAGCAGAACATGAGCATCCCAGGAACTCCCCTAATATTCCCTTTTCCAAGGGAACATATCCCACCTCCTTCAGGATACCTTTATCCTGACTTTTAACATAGTTTAACTGCTTTTTGTACACTATAGAAATATTATCATGAAGTTTGTAAAATCTGGCTTGTTTAGCTCAACATTATATTATTATGTTCATATTGCTTGTAGCTGTAGCATTTTTATTCTCAATACATCATATTGTAGTTTTCATTTTGTGAATATACCATAATTAATTATGCATTCTTCTGTAGGTGGACCTATGTATAGTTTTCAGTTTGGAGCTGTTTAAACAGTATGGCTATGAACTTTCTAGCAAATATTTTTCTGATAATATATGTAGTTTTTAATTATTATTATTTTTTTTTAAATAGATCCAGAGTCTCACTCTTGCTCAGGCTGGAGTGCAATGGGGTGATCATAGCTCACTGCAGCTTTGACCCACTGGGCTCAAGCAATCCTCCTGCCTTAGTCTTCCAAGTAGCTAGTATTACAGGCATGCACCACCATGTCCAGCTAATTTTTTAATTTAATTTTTATTTTTAATTTTTTATAGGAGCAGATTCTCACTATGTTGTTCAGGCTGGCCTCAAACTCCTGGCCTCAAGTAATCCTCCCACCTTGGCCTCTGAAAGTGCTGGGATTACAGGCATAACCCACTGCCCCTGGTTTTGTATATATATATAGGTTTGATGGGTATATACTTCAGAGTGGAATTTATGGGCTCTAATGGATACTGCCACCCAGTTTCCCTAATGGTTGTAAAAGTTTACACTTGCGTAGCATCCAATGTGCGTTTAGGTTGGTTCATATCCTCCCTAACTCTTGGTACTTCCCACTTTTTTCATTTTTGTCTTTTTTTTTTTTTTCTTTTTGAGACAGAGTCTCACTGTGTCGACAGGCGCCAGGCTGGAGTGCAGCAGTGCGATCTCAGCTTACTGCAACCTCCGCCTCCCAGGTTGAAGCAATTCTCCTGCCTCAGCTTCCCGAGTAGCTGGGACTACAGAAGCGAGCCACCCATGCCCAGCTACTTTTTATATTTTAGTAGTGACGGGGTTTCACTGTGTTGGCCAGGATGGTCTTGATTTCTTGACCTTGTGATCCGACCGCCTCGGCCTCCCAAAGTGCTGGGATTACAGGCGTGAGCCACTGCATCCGGCCCTTTTTGTCTTTTTTTTTTTTTTTTTTTTTTTTAACAGCGTCTCACTCTGTCGCTCAGGTTGAAGTGCAGTGGCGTGATTTCGGCTCACTGCAGCCTCTACCTCTTGGGTTCAAGTGATCCTTCCACCTCAGCCTCCTGAGTAACTGGGACTACGGGCATGTGCTACTATGCCAGCCTAGTAGAGACAGGGTTTTGCCATGTTGCCTAGGCTGGTCCTGTGAGCTCAAGCCATTTGCCCTGCTCAGCTTCTCAAACTGCAGGGTTACAGGTGTGAGCCACTGCACCTGGCCATTGTTTTATTATTTATTATTTTTTTATTTCTTTTGAGATGGAGTTTCGCTCTTGTTGCCCAGGCTGGAGTGCAATGGCATGATCTCGGCCCACCGCAACCTCTGCCTCCCGGGTTCAAGCGATTCTCTTGCCTTAGCCTCCCAAGTAGCTGGGATTATAGGTATGTGTCACCATGCCCAGCTAGTTTTTGTATTATTAGTAGAGATGGTGTTTCTCCATGTTGGTCAGGCTGGTCCCAAACTCCTGACCTCAAGGGATCTGCTTGCCTTGGCCTCCCAAAGTGCTAGGATTATGGGTGTGAGCCACTGCACCCGACCCATTATTTTATTATTACTATTTTTTTTAGAGACAGGGTTATGCTGTGTCACCCAGGCTAGCCTTAAATGCTTTGGCTCAAGGGACCCTCCCACCTCAGCCTCCTAAGTGGCTAAGACTACAGGTATATGCTGCTGTCCTCAGCTTTGGTTATTTTTACTATTTTTAAAACTAGTTTTGCTGGGCACCATGGCTCATGTCTGTAATCTCAACACTTTGGGAGGCCGAGACAGCTGAATCACTTGAGCTCAAGAGTTCCAAGACTAGCCTGGGCAACTGGCGAAATGCCATCTCTACAAAAAGTACATAAATTAGCCATTGCAGTGGTACATACCTATAGTCCCACCTACTGGGGAGGCTGAGGCAGGAAAATTACTTGAGCTGGGGAGGCAGAGAGGTTGCAGTGAGCCAAGATGGCACCAGTACACTGTAGCCTGGGGGACAGAGCAAGGCTCTGTCTCAAAAAAGTAAAAAACAAATAAATAAAAATAGTTTTTAGTTTGACAAGTCAAAACTGGTATCTTGTTTACTTTGCTTTATTTTGGTTTCTGGTTATGGTAAATATTTTTAATTATCATTGTTTTCTGAGAGATGGTATTGCTCTGTCACCTAGGCTGGAATGCAGTGGCACCTTCATAGCTCACTACAGCTTCAACCTCCTGGGCTCAAGTGATCCTTTGCCTTAGCCTCCTGAGTAGCTGGGACTGCGCGTACGTGCTACCACACCCAGCTAATTTTTTAGTTTTTATTTTTTGTAGAGACAGGGTCTTGCTATGTTGCCCGGGCTGGTCTTTAACTCCTTGCCTCAAGTCATTCTCCTGCCTTGACCTCCCAAAGCACTGGAATTAAAGGCATGAGCCACTGCACCCTGACTTATGTTTTAGTTAATGATCTTAATTGGTAATGACTTCTAGTGCTGCTTTAATGATACTAGCTACTATTTTTTGAGCACTTTCCTGACAATCACAAATACTGTGTTAAACATTTTTGTTGTTTGAGACAGAATCTTACTCTGTCGCTGGAGTGCAGTGTTGCCATCTCGGCTCACTGCAACCTCCACCTACCAGGTTCAAGCGATTCTCCTGCCTCAGCCTCAGCCTCCCAAGTAGCTGGGACTACAGGCACATGCCACCATGCCCAGCTAATTTTTGTATTTTTAGTAGAGAGGGGTTTCACCATGTTGGCCAGGATGGTCTTGATCTCCTGACTTTGTGATCCACCTGCCTCAGCCTCTCAAAGTGCTGGGATTATAGGCGTGAGCCACCACGCCTGGCTAAACATTTTATATGTGTTATCTATTTTAATCTTCTGAACAGCCCAATCAATTGTAGATACTTTTATTATTTCATGAAGGAGGAAACATTTTTGAGGGGGGAAAACTGACTTGTTTAACAGTGCTACATAGTTAGGAAACTCAGGTTCTGTGATCTCTTACTGCACCATAACCTCTCAACTTTTGTTAGTATAGATGAGGAATATTCATATATATTTACAGGAGAGTAGATTAAATGTATATACATTTTAGATTCCAGATATATACGTCTGTAGTTTAACTGGTTCTCTTGAAAGCAAAATGATCAAATAAGGTATTTGGTGGGGCTAGAGAAGATAAAAAGATTTTAGTTTGATTCTAATTAGAAAGTTGGTTATAAATGTTTAAAGCTGGAAGTATTAAATGTTTCTCAAATTATGTTCCATTGCACACTGTTTGGAAAATTTTCCTATTTCCTGACCAAGTAACTTTGATTAACACCTATGAACATACAGATAACTTTGAGAAACACCTAATTTTAGGTAAAATCTATTAACTTTATCCTAGAACTTCGCAAATCAGTTTGTGTGCTCTTTTGTAGTAGACCTGTTTATGTCTTGTGGAACAATATGTTGATATACATCAGTTTGAGACAAAAGCTTGTCATTCATCCTTTTATTTTGTAAGGGGAGGAAATAGAGATCCAGTATGGGTTAATGTGTTGCCTAAGATCACACAGCTACTAAATGGCAGAGCCAGGATCCAGTTCTTCCTTTGTACCTTGCTTCCTCTAGTAATATTATTAATATGTAGTATTTATTCATTATATGCTGTGTTAAGAAGTTGTAAAGCAGACTTGAGTGTAATTTTTTAAATATTCTAGTCCACCTATCAGTCTTACTTTCTGATAAATACATATACAGTTCTTAAACTTGTAAGATTTATGTGTATATGAGTATCCTAACTTATTTAACATGAATGCATATCCATAATCACTTGTTGGTATTTAATTATAGCGATGAAAAGAGTAATTTTCTTCTGTAATTAATGTTTGTTTAGTTTCTGTAAACAATGTTTGGTTTAGTTTCTGTAGAAAATGTTTCCTGACTGCAATGAGGGAAAGCGGAACACATTGTCCCCTGTGTCGTGGAAATGTGACTAGAAGAGAGAGAGCATGTCCCGAACGGGCTTTAGACCTTGAAAATATCATGAGGAAGTTTTCTGGTAGCTGCAGATGCTGTGCAAAACAGGTAGAGTAAAAGTGACATATCTCTTCTTTGGAAGCCAAGTTTCTACTCTGAAATTCTTGTTTGAATTTTCTTGCTGGGTGCTGTTTTGAAAAGACGGAAGGTAGATTGGGGATTGGATAGAAAAGGCCAAAAAAGTTGTGGTCATAGATCTTACTAGATTATAAACTTACTGATAAATGAGATGGGAAAAAAATACCGAATTTCATATTTAGCATAGCATTTTTCTAAAAGTAATTTCTCATTGATTACTTACTAAATTAACTAAATGAGCAAGCTGGCATTTAGCTAATTTAAACCCCATTCTGGTACAAATTCAACCCTTAAGTTTTTCTCCTGGTAGCATCATTATTGCAGCTTTGCACATAGAAATGTTACTAGTTTGGTCACATGTATTTATGTAATTAAGGAACTTTGTAGCTGCTTACTTTACTTATGTATGTATCTATTAAAGAAATCACAAGGGGTGGGCATGGTGTCTCACGCCTATAATTCTAGCACTTTGGGAGGCCGAGGTGGGTGGATCACCTGAGGTTGGGAGTTCGAGACCAGTAGGACCAACGTGGTGAAACCCCATCTCTACAAAAAATACAAAAATTAGCCAGGTGTGGTGGCACATGCCTGTAATCCTAGCCACTTGAAAGGCTGAGGCAGAATTGCTTGAACTGGGAGGCAGAGGTTGCAATGAGCCAAGATCGTGTCATTACACTTCAGACTGGGCAACAAGAGTAAAACTGTGTCTCAAAAAAAAAAAAAAATCACAAAATATTTCGTTAATTTTAAGGCACATGTAGGAAAATTAGGTGTTAACAAATAACCAGCATTAATTCTCTAATATGGATGTTATTCTATTATTTGGAGAAGGAATAAGTGAGGGGTGGTTTTGCTTTGAGTATATCCATGTGTATAGATTTATCACCACCATTTTTTCTAACAGCTAATGAAGTCAGTGAGCAAAACTGGTTGCTATTTCATGCATTCACACAAATCAGATCTGCTTTTCCATCTTTTTGAAAAAAGTGTTTACCTGATAGGGCGATGAAGTGAAGCTAGAAAACATACATGAGGGATTTTGGCTATTCCTCTCAGTGAGAAACTGAAAAATGTTCCAAGTATTAACCTGGGAACTTAAGTTTCTTTCTTTCTTTCTTTTTTTTTTTGAGACAGTGTTTCACTTTGTCACCTAGTCTGGAGTAGCACAATCTCGGCTCACTGCAGCCTTGACTTCCCAGATTTTAAGGGATCCTCTTGCCTCAGCTTCTCAGGTGGCTGAGACTACAGGTGCACACTACACCTCGCTAATTTTTGTATTTTTGGTATGAACAGAGTTTTGTCATGTTGCTCAGGCTGATCTCAAACCCCTGAACACAAGCAATCCACCCGCCTTAGCCTCCCAAAGGGCTGGGATTACAAATGTGAGCCACCACGCCCGGCCATGAACTTAACTTTTTTAAAAGTGCTTTTAACTCTGCTAGGCTGCAAAAGTTAAATAATAAGACATGCCTGATAGCATCTGGCATCGTCTTAGTACTTTGTTTTTTGTCTAGTACTAGTAGTATCTTTTCAAGTGTAAAGTTATTTGCTGTTTTTTATAGTGAGTTTATGGACAGATGGACTCTTCTCCATCTCTACATTTAATGAACAGAAATGTATTACCTATTTTTAACTCCTGCTTAAGGATGAAATCATTTACTTTAAAAAAATAAAACTCTTGTTTAAATGGAGTATTTAGTTACTTATTTTAATTTTTTTCTTCTTTTTGACAGTATCTCAAATCTTATGAGTTCTATTTTAAATTAAAAGTCACATTTTAATCAATAATTTACAGATTAAATTCTATCGCATGAGACATCATTACAAATCTTGTAAGAAGTATCAGGATGAATATGGTGTTTCTTCTATCATTCCAAACTTTCAGATCTCTCAAGATTCAGTAGGGAACAGGTAAGCAATACTTATTCCTAAATACAGAATTTTCATAATTGAAATGGAAATTGATGTGGGAACTTTATGATAAAGTATTTTGTGGGATGTGTGTGTGTATGTGTGCATGTGTTTTTAAAGTGAATTGCGAAGTATCAGAACTACAGCATTTGCCTTCAAAATCTATTTGGCACATATAAGGTACCATCTGGGAGATGAACCTAATGAACTTTTTTTTTTTTTCTTCAGTTGCCAGGCAGAACTTCGTGAACTTAAGCTTATGCTATTTAAAATCATTCTAAGAATCTTTATTTTTTCGAATAAAAAATAAGTTGGAGATTATTCTCTTACTGATTTTGCAACTGAAATGATTTGAAAACTATAGAAAATTCTTTTTAGTAATGTATTTGCAAACTTCAACCTATTTCTTCTTTGCTATCTAAGGGATAGATTTAGAGTTTGAAATTTTTATTCTAAAATATCATGTAAGAGTGAAACTAGGTGCAATGCAGTTCTGTTTGAGCCTCAATTCTATTAAACAACTAGATTTGGATTTATTTGTAACTTCTCTTAGATTTATGTACATTGAATATTTTTATGAAATGTATTTTACACCGACAAATAGCCAAAATGCACTTGTGGTTTAAAAAAATAATGATAAACATCCAGTTCCAGGTCAAGAAATAGGACATTTTTCAGAACTTTAGAATCTCTATGTAAGCTCTTGCCCATTTGAACCCTGTACTTCTAGATGCAACCACTATCCTCTTATTTGGATTATTCATTCTTTTGCTTTTCTTTATGTATCATCACCCATGCATATATCCCTAAACAATGCATTGTTAATTTTGAAAACTTCAATAGTAGGGATACACATAACTGTGTAAGGAAAGACAGTATTGCCACTATTGTAGAAAGATTCCCAGAAGACAGTATATATAGTATGTTAAGCAGTCTCTGAGATTTTATTTTAGTAGTTTTTCATTTTAGATGTTGCTAATTTTTAGTAACTTAACCGCCCTTAAGCACTTCATGTTTATCATACAACATTAGGTGTCTTCCAGGTTCTCATTTTACATGACTTGTTAGTATCAAGGAAATTTGGTTGAAATTTGTTGCTCTTGTAGTTTATTTTTAGTCCTTCTGGGTTTCTTCATTTCTACATTTTCCTTATTGTTATACTTCTACTTTATTGTAATTTCCTATCTGCTTTTTACCCAATAGATTGTTCTTAATTGAGGGGATGGCATTTGTCTTGTTGAGGATATCTCCAGGTTTTAGTGAAGTTCTTAGTATACATGACTGTAATCACTGCTTTTAATGACCACATTTTCTTGTCAGGAGAGAGGCCTTTCTCCCTCTTACTTACTGCTTAGATCCACTTGCTCATAGACACTTGATTCCTAATAGCAATATTCCTCATCTGTCACTTCCCTAGCTCAGGCCCTCATCTCTCACTCAAACTATTATAATAGTCTAGTTGGTAGTTACTTTCTAATTTGTTTTACATTCTGTGGCCAAAGTAATATTAATGAAGTATAAAAGACAAAATTCCTTATTCCAAAGCTCTTTCTGATCTGGCCCTTTCCTCTCTTTTTATAGCATTTTTCTTGCATCATTGCATCATGTGCCTTAGCCATGTTGAATTTTTTCTTCCGTTATCTTTGCCATTCTTGAAAAACAATATGACTGTGGTTAAAAACAAAGGCTTGGAGCCGGAGTGTTGGGTTTAAATTTCAGCTATCACTTACTAATTGTATTACATTGGCAAGAAACTGCCTCAGTTGTCTTAATCTGTTTAAGGAAAGGTATGAGAGGCGATGATATTAGGACCTCACTGGGTAGAAGTTAATAAATGAGTTAACACAGGTAAAGAAACTTGAATAGTGCTTTGCTTGGTGAATGTTAGTTTTTCCTCCTCATCATCACTATCACTCCCTCACCACCACACCTTTACCAGTAATATCACAACCTGCACTTTGCCAGCTGGTTGACTTTTTTGTTCTTAAAGACAGTCCAAGTGTTAGCTACTCAGTAAAATCCTTCCCGACCTCTAGAGTTTTTTCTTGGTAGAACTGTTCTTAATGCAATTAGACCTCTAAACTTTATTGTATTTATTTATTTCAGGCTGTCTCCTTACCTAGAATGAGCTTTTTAGTCTTATTTATTTCTATATCCTATGCAGAGTTCTGATTGCAATGGAAGAATTGAGTTTGTATGTGGATGTTTAATCAGTAAGAAAATTAGCAAAGGAAGGAAAAGATTATTTTTCTTTTTTGGGACGGAGTCTCTGTAGCCCAGGCTGGAGTGCAGTGGTACAATTTTGACTCACTGCAACCTCCGCCTCCTGGGTTCAAGTGATTCTCCTGCCTCAGCCTCCCAAGTAGCTGGGACTACATGCGCCCACTACCACGCACCAGCTAATGTTTTTTGTATTTTTAGTAGAGACGGGGTCTTAACCATGTTAGCCAGGATAGTCTTGATCTCATGACCTCCTGATCCACCTGCCTCAGCCTCCTAAAGTGCTGGGATTACAGGTGTGAGCCACCACACCCAGTCTTTTTTTTTTTTTTTTAAGTCTTAAATTTATTTTGTTTGTTTGTTCTGTTTTGTTTTTAGACAGAGTCTCGCTCTGTCATCCTGGAGTGCAGTGGCGTGAACACGGCTCACAGTAGTCTTGACCTCTTGGGCACAAGCATTCCTTCTGCCTTAGCCTTTTAGGTAACTAGCACCACAGGAACATGCTACCACATCCATCTAATTTTTTTGTTTTTTGGTAGAGATGGGAGTGTCAGTTTGTTGCCCAGGCTGATCTCAAACTCCTGTGCTCAAGCAGTTCTCCTGCCTTGGCTTCCCAGAGTGCTGGGTTATAGGCGTGAGCTACCATACCTGGCCAGAAATGTTCATTTTTATTTATTTACTTATTTATTTTTAGGCAGAGTTTTGCTCTTGTCACCCAGGCTGGATTGCAATGGCATGATCTTGGTTTACTGCAACTCTGCCTCCTGGGTTCAAGTGATTCTCCTGCCTCAGCCTCCTGGGTAGCTTGGATTACAAGTGCCCACCACCATGCCCTGCTAATTTTTGTATTTTAAGTAGAGACGGGGTTTCGCCATGTTGGTTAGGCTGGTCTCAAACTCCTGGCCTCAGGTGATCACGTGCCTCGGCCTCCCATGTTCTGGGATTATAGTTGTGAGCCACCACACCCAGCCTATTTTTATTTTTATTTTATTTTTTTGAGGTGGAGTCTTACTCTGTTGCACAGGTTGGAGTGCAGTGCCACGATCTTGGCTCACTGCTACCTCTGCATCCTGAATTAAGTGATTCTCCTGCCTCAGTCTTCCTAGTAGCTGGGATTATAGGTGCCCACCATCATGCCTGGCTAATTTTTGTATTTTTAGTAAAGGTAGGGTTTCACCATGTTGGCCAGGCTGGTCTTGAACTCCTGACCTCTGGTGATCCGCCTGCCTTCAGCCTCCCAAATTGTTGGGATTACAGGTGTAAACCACCACATTCAGCCAGAAATGTTGTTTGTTTGTTTTTGAGACAAGAGTCTTGCTCTGTTGCCAGGCGCCAGGCTGGAGTGTGGTGGCGCAATCTCGGCTCACTGTAATCTCCGCCTCCTGGGTTCAAGCAATTCTCCTGCCTCAGCCTCCCGAGTAGCTGGGACTACAGGCATACGCCAACATGCCCAGCTAATTTTTGTATTTTTTAGGAGAGATGGGGTTTCACCATGTTGGTCAGAATGGTCTCATCTCTTGACCTCGTGACCCGCCTGCCTTGGCCTCCCAAAGTACTGTGTTTTTTGTTTTAATAGTAGGTAAAATAAGATATGATCCATAGTATGCTCAAGGTCTGAGCAGGAAACAGATAGTGGGCTCTAATTATGCAATTTGAGGAGAATTGAGTGAAGTGACTATTTTCAAAGAGTAGTGTATTAGGTACCCTATATAAGTAGGGTATAGAAAGCCACAAGGAATAGTGGGCTGTGGATCTACTGAAAGCAGGTGGGAGGAAGAAATGGATAACCAGAATCTGGAGAAGAGAGCTGAATAGAGCATGGCTAAGGAAATTCATAAAGTGGCATTTGTATGTACCTGAGTAGTAAAAAAAATAATAAATTGCCAAATAAATCCATAGATCATTTCACCAATTCAGTACACATTTATTATACTTTCTGAAGTGCTGGACATACTCTACATGTTATTGAATATACAGGGATTGGTAAAACAGACACTTACTTTTTCCATGTATCTAACTATAAGCTGTAACTTTCAGTTGAGTCATCTAAAATAATCTGGCGCTTTCATTCATATTCTGAGAAGTACTGTTTACTGTAAATGACTAAATATTAGAGTGTGTTTTAGCAAAATTATTGCATTGGTGTGGGGTAGTTTCTCATAATACTTAAATAGCAGTGCTAATTTTATTAAGGCCATTTCTATTTCATAACAGAATTCTGCTTCTAACATAAGATTGCATCTTTTTGTTTTCTTTAGCCACAGGAAGTAGGGAGGAGGAGGGCAGATGAATGTAATCATTAAGATACAGACAACATTTCAATTTTATCTTCCTTGGAAATCATTTGGTCTGTTTACAGGCTGTTCCTACTAATCTTGACTCTTCGTAAATATTAATAACTGGATATCAGTAGGTTGATACAGTTTATTTCAAATATAGCTCTTCACAAAAACAAAAAAAAGAAAATTGTCAGCATCTTTTTTTTTTTTTTTTTTTTTAAGATGGAGTTTTGTTCTTGTTGCCCAGACTGGAGTACAGTGGCGCAATCTCAGCTCACTACAACTTCCAGCCCCTAGGTTCAAGTGATTTTTCTGCCTCAGCCTCCTGAGTAGCTGGGATTACAGGCAAGCACCACCATACTTGGCTAATTTTGTATTCTTAGTAGACATGAGGTTTCTCCGGGTTGGTCAGCCGTGTCTTGAACTCCCGACCTCAGGTTGATTCTCCCACCTCAGTCTCCCAAAGTGCTGGGATTATAGGCGTGAGCTGCTGCACCCAGC